TGCTATATTTTTCTTAATTTCTTCCTAATATGAAGAGGTCAAAAAAAGAATTACAGAACAACTTGTTTGTGTATGAGCTAAAATAATTTTGGCATCATGCTATAAGAATGGTTCCTTCTACAGAGTCTATAAATGGAATAGAAGGATTGTTGAAGATGCCTTCCACAGGGTGGGAGGATGAAAGTTTCTCATGTGCTCTCAGGTCATTCTGATAAGAAGGAGCTGTATTTCCTTCTAATTGCTACTACTCTGAACTTGCAACAAGAAACTGTTTTCTTTCTTGAGCTACTTTATTTATAAATCTGTAGACTTCTACACAAGAACATCTCTACTCTGATAGTTAACCCTCCTGGAACATGGAGAGGAGAGTCCACTTGAGTCTCTAAGTCCACTAGGAAGAAGAATAGATTAAGAATCCAAGAGTTATTTGTAAATAAGTCCATATCAGTGACTGCTCTCATGCTGTTTTCTGGCTAGGGAATCACTGCTATAGATAATCAGTTTTTGTTCTTGACCATGGATGTCTCACCACCTTGGGATACAAGAATGAAAAGTCATGTGGATATTTGTAATACACATTTTCTTTCAACAGAAATAGGAAAAAAGTCATCAACAGTATCACAAAATTCCAGCATTCCGGTCTTTTGTCACTTCTAACAATTCTTCAGCACCTATCAAATGGTTGGCTGACTGACTAGAAAATCTCTGGAATGCTGTACAAAGCAACTGTGTCTATCTCTGAGGCAAGGGATTTGTGAAAGTTAGAATTTTACCATAAGCAAATTTGACTTTCAAAAGCATATACCAAGGAACTGCTCACACACACACACACACACACACACACACACTATTTACAGTCAATCCTGAATTCCACTAGGCTGTCACAAGGTTTGGCTTGGTTCCTGACTGGGTGATTACCTTCATCTAGCTGAATTTTATTATAATACCTTTGGTTTATATTCTAAGCCACTATGAAAAATAACCATATGAAGTTTCTTAAAGTATTATCAATACTATATTGCTTTCCATTCCATAGTCTTGATCTAAAACATGACTGAAAAAAATTTCTCTTTGAATTCAATGCTAGGAAAGTTTTGTTTCCCTTGAAGAACTATTAGTTCCTTTTGAAAAAAGCAATTATGTAACTAGTTGGGGCACTTGGCCAACAGGAAACTCAGTGGTTCAATTTGTTACTCAATGGTATGTTTACTCTTACCTGATTATTTTTCCTTGGATCCTATATTAATACTTCTAAATCTTTATTTTTAAAATTTTCTGTGCCTGTCTTTTAGAGTTGTTCAGACCCTTTATTCATTGAAGTGGTGGTGTAAGTAAATATAAATAACAAATAAAAAAAGCTATCAAGTTTAGTAATAAAATAAGACGACTCCATGAAATTCTTGTAGAATTACTTCCTCACTACTCTGGTCAATGTACTGGAGTTTTCCCCCTTAGGAATTAAGCCTGGAATTCTTTTTTCATTTCTGATTGAATGTGACTGGGAAAATTAACTGGAAGTTTTATCCCAGGGAAATGTCAATGTTAATAAAATTCTAAGAAATTTGCTAACTCATCATTTTCCCCCCAATGACAACATGTTAGAGTTTTATGTTAGCGTTTTATATACTAAAAAGTCTTCCTTTTTAGAGAAACTAGAGGAAAAATATTTTGAAAGATTTGTTGAGCATTTTGTTCTTCCCTCCCACTCCCCATTAATGTATGAGAAATTTGATCATTTATTTTACCTATAGGTCAAATTAGTAGGGAGAGAATCTTAGTCATTCCTGAGGCAAAAATTCGTTGGAAAAAAAAATTTTTTTTTTTTTTAAGATTTTTATTGGGGCATTGGGGGATGGGAATAGCGCTGGGGAATTGGGGGAAGGGGAACAGACAAGTAGCTGTCCTTTTTGTTCTTCAGTCTAGTTGTGGAGGACGTTGCTTCACTGGCCCAAGTTGGCACCATCATTGCGCTCTTCCCGGGTGAGGCAGATCAGTCGCAGTCTTCTGGACGGCTGCTCATAGCAGCTGCTGGCTACACACGCTGGATGCTGGCTACACACAGTAGCCCCTGGCAACCCACTGCAGCAGCGGCTGCAGCCTATATGGTCACCGGGGACTCACAGCAGCCCAGCTCCAGGTTGAGCTGTTGTTCAGCATCTTAGCTGTAGAGGGCAGTGTCACTGGCCCTAATATGTGGGATCTGATCCGGGGCCCTCTGGAGTCCCAAGCCAGCTCTTAACCAACGCACCACTCGGCCGGCCCTGAAAATTTTTTAAATATTGGAATGTGTACTAGTATTTACATGGTTCAAAATTTAAAAAATACTAAATTATATTTAGTGAAAAGTTTCTCTTCAAACCCTGCCCTCCAGCTGTCCAGCCCCCCTCCCAAGACACAACCAGTCTTATCAATTTTGGGTATGTCTTTTCAGAGCTCTTTTACCCATATACAAACCAATATATGTATATATATAAGTATACATACAAATGTACATAATTTCACCTTTTTCGAAAGAAAGTGTAACATACTTGTTTTACATTTCAAAAAGTTGTGCACATAATTGTATCTTGAAGATTATTTCATAAAAGTACAAAGAACCTTCTCATTTTAAAAGCCTTCATAGGATGTAATGTTAAGGTGTTTCACAATTTACCAGTCCTTTATTAATGAACATTTATACATTTTTATTTATTTACTTATTTATTTATTGTTAGTTTCAGGCGTACAGAACAATGCAATAGTTATCCTTTTTACCCTTCACACTGAAACACCCCCTCCCCCATCCACTGCCCTCCCACCCCCGATATCATACTTATCTATTACAATTTCATTGACTCCATTCCCATTGTCTACTCCACGTCCCGTGACTATATGTATATATAATTATAGTTGACATACAATATTCTTCAACATCAGCTTCAGATATACAGTGCGGTGGTCAGGCCTCTACACCGACTATGAAGTAGAACATTTATCCATTTTTTAATCTTATTATAATGATGTTGACATGGACAAGCTTATGTATACTTGCCACTTCTCATGTGTGTTGCAAGATGAAGTCTTATATGTAGACTTACTGGCTCAAAGGTTATGTGCATAATTTTGTTAAGTATTGTGAAGTGCCCTCAATGGAGGTCATTTTAATTTACATGCACATCTGCTTTGGGACTACCCATTCCTTGACACTTTTGCCAACACAGTGGTTATGAAACGTTCTAATCTTTGCCAATCTGATAAGTAAAAACTAGTTCCTCAATGTAGCTTTAACTTGCAATTTTCTAATGGAGAAAAAAAATTATGCTAACCTTTTTTTAGGGCAAAGGGCCACAAAGTTTTGTGGGGTTATTATCTGACCCTTAATGTTGTTTATGAAGTCTGTAGCAGGTCACCATTAAAGTTTCAGAGATCAAGAACATGGCAACATGCCCAGAACCAAGATGGAAAGAAAAGTCAGCAGGCCCCATTCAAGCATATTTGCCTTGACAGAGTCCCTAAATGATGTCTCTAAAAGGTAACTTCTGGGCTACAAAAGTTGCTTCTAATTACTTATCACTTAGGAGAAGGTGTGTTTGTTTTTGTTTTGTTTTTTTCTTTAATCTATCTCATGGAAAAATCTATCTCACGGAAAACAGGTTCCATATTTATAGATATAACTAAACCACACAGTAGAACTGTGTGTGTGTGTGTGTGTGTGTGTGTGTGTGTGTGTGTGTGTGTGTGTACGTTGGGGGGTGGGGGTGGCAGTTGCTCCAAATCATCTGGGTCACCTGAGGGTTACACAGATTAAATGGTATGTTTAACACTTGGAGTATTGTATTTAACGAGGAGGCGTGCTACTGATTAGCATAACTGCCTGGTGACTTGCAGAAACAATGCCAGTGGTTTGTTTATGTTGCTTTTGCATAAGGGAAAACCATTCAATGGTGTTTAATGCTGTATATCTAAAAATAATCACATGACTTTTCCTCAAGTCATACTTACTTACATATCTGTCTTTTCAGCAGGAACTTCAAAAGCACGTGAGTGGTGTCATCATGTAATGGGATAAAAAGAGAAGATTAGGAGTTAGGCCTGTTGCAGTTGCACTTGCCCTTTGCTAGCTGTGTGACCTTGAGCAAGTTTCTTGGCCTTTCTGTCCTTCTATTTCCTCAGTTGAAAAATGGAGATAATAATCTGATGATATTCCCCTGGGTCTTGTTGAGGAAATAATGGAACACTGTAGATGTGAAAAGAGTTTACAACTGTAAATGGCAATACAGCTGTTAGTTGATCTAATGTATAGTACAGAAACTGTCAAATACAGTATCCTCGGATTAAGTCTCAGGAAAAAAAGCTTACTTCTCTTAAAAGCTCTTAGCAAATCCAAACCAGATAATTATTATTTTTCTAAAATTTTGGACTCAGGTTGTCTGACTTAATGACTCAGTAATTTACATGTCTTGTAAGTATAAAGGCATCTGTGGAAAAGCTTTGATTTAAAAATACGCCTAAAAATGGGCCTAATAAGAATAAAATTTGTTGGGTTTAGAAAAGAGGAAGGGCTTGATTTGTGTTTATTGAAAAGTGGGTTGGGCCTCGTTTCTCCCTTTGGTGTTCTATTCTCCTTCGCACTTTTTATTGGATGTTCTAACAGCTGGAGCTCATTTCTTGAGTGAATAAAGAGACCCGGTGTCGGACACTCTGAAGCGACAATTCCCGCTGTTGTTGTTGTGGGTTTTTTTTGCAAAGCTTCGCCCTGAGAATTCTGCAACCTTCCGACGCCCGACCCCACACGCGGACTTCCCTCGCTGCAATGCCCCACCGCTGGCACCAAGTCTGAGAGCTCGCACCGGGAACACAGGTGTCAGGAGGGCAGCAGGAGGCAGATCCTCTCTGCAGCCCGGCCTGGGGCCCCCAGCACTGGGCGCTGCAGAGTTCCAGGAGCCTGCGGAGACCTGCGCGGTGTCGGACGTGAAGTTCAGCCAGGTGCGCAGGCGGCAGCCCCGGGGCGCAGCGTCGCCAAGTGGCAACAGGTGCAGCGCAGTCCAGGGCGGACACCGGGGGCACGAGGTGCGTCCGCATTTAGCCTGGGAGCGCTCGGGGCCTCGGGATTGGGACCTGGGAGCGCCAGCAGGGAGCCAGCGGACGAGCTGAGCGCCGCGTGAGCCTCCGGAACTGGCGCGCCAAGGTACAGCCTCGCGCGTCTTTGAAGTTTTTAGGGGCGCAGCCCCCTCGGACGCCGCCTGGCCTTTGTCTCCAGCTGCGCGGCGCAGGCTGGGGCCGCCTGGAAGGAGCCGCAGCGGGTGAAGGGGGCAGAGGCGGCGGAGCCTGTGTATTTACAAGTTTCCCGAACTCCCCGCCCTTGCTCCACCCCTCGGCTGCCCGAGAGGCGGGGGCCTGCGGTGCCCAGGACTCCCGGATCCCGCCGGGCAGAAACCGCCGCCGGCGTGCGGGTGGGGGTGGGGACGAGCCGTGTGTTCCCAGGTGCAGACGCTGCCCGGCGGGCACAGATTGCACCGCCGGCCTCCAGGGTGGGCCTGGAGCGCCTCCGCCGCGGGTCCAAAGGGCGCTTGGGCTCCGAGTGCTCGTCTCCCCGCTATTGCTTGCTCCCGGGAGGGCTCGCGGTTGGATACGAAGAACTGCGGGTAAGTGCGGAGTTGAGTGGATTCCTGCGTCCCAGCCTGTCCGTGGTGGGGATCGCGCGTGAGGTGGAGAGAGGACATGGTGAAAACCACCGTCGCAGGGTGACGGGGCTGGCTTGGGGGGAGGGGGCGGGTATTCTAGCAGCTTGGGTGCCAAAGTTGGGGAAGTGGGGAAGAGGCAGCCCCAGCGGAGCGGAGGCTGTATAGAGCAGGTCTCACGTGGGGACAGCAAAGCTCGTGCGGAAGGGACGGATGCGGATCTCGTAGCTGTCACCTTGAAAGAGACCGAAGGGCTTTACAGTAGACTCAGTTATGCGGACTGCAGACTGACAGGCTTGTACCTTCAGCCGGAAGCCGCCCACCAGACACTTGACCCGCCAGGGCCCAGCGGCCCCAGACCTCGCGCTGGGCGGTTCGCTTGGGTCCATTCTCAGCATAAGTCATCAGGGCTGAAAATGGCTTTAATGGGAGTTGCTGCAATTCCCAAGGGACTCTCATCCCTTCCCTTATTGCTTCCTGCGGTTCGCGTGGGTTTCTCTAGCTCTTTAGAAAAACACACCCCTAAGGTCACCTGGCTGATTCCTCTTTAGTAATCAGTGGATTGATGTTGACTTAAATCTTTCTGTCCTCTCCTTTTAAGACATGCTCTTTTCTACTAAGTTATTTGTTGATTTTGACTCGGATTAATTACTTTTGGAGTAGGCATGGTGAGATTAAGTCGTTATTTAGCTTGCATAAAGTTTCACATGTTCTATTAATATTGTTTTAAGTAGTCTGCGTCCTAAAAAAAGAAATTCGGTGTTTTTTGTTTGTTTGAATAAAATCAAAGTTTTAGGCAGAACACAGGGGCAGGGTTGGGGGTGGGGAGGATGAAGGCGTTCTTTTTTCTCCAGGTGATGGGGATTCAGTCATCATCTAAATCCCCAGGTCTGGGTTGGAGGGTGGGCATAGAGGTGTTAGGAGTGGAGGAAAGAAGAGGGAGGTGGAAAAACAAATGAAAGTCGCTGCTTCCTGGGAACCTAGGACTTTCTTAAGGAGTCTAGATACACCCAGATAACAGTGTTCGGTTAACACTAAAAGGAATTACATAGTTGGAATTGCAGTTCTGTAGATAAACTTCTTTTTCAGGGATAATTAGGGCAGGAAATGATGGACAATTTAAATTGAAACAATGATGCCTTATTTCAATAGCGTGTTACAATGTATAAAGTATTAATAGATTTTTTTCCCCCTCAATTACAATATTGCATAAGGAAAGTTATACAAAGAAATGATTAGCACTACTTATCCTAAAAACAAAACAAAACCAGAAACCTGAGGAGTGGAATTTAATTTAAAATAATGTATTGTTACTTATTTAACTTGCACCAACCTCTCCACCCATTTTTTTTTATCAGCATTATGTGGAGCAAATATAGTGCTTGTAGAAGACTGCACCTTTTAATTATGTTATCAGTAATTGAAGATTATAATTTTGGAGTATTATGTAGGATTATAAAATTCTAGCTAGATTTCTTTTGGTATTTCTTAGAAACAAAACTGCCTTAAGCATTTAAAGAGCATGTCACTTAATAGCCCTGTTCTGTTGGCCTTGTATATTACAGTTTCAAATATAAGGCATGCTTGCTGTATAAAAATTGGTAGATTGAGAAAAAGTGTAAGAGTTCAATCATTCCACATCAAAGATAATCACAATTCATATTTTCTTTATACTTGTTAATATATAACACAAAACATTTATTTTTTACAATTATGTAGTTTATACAAATATACTGTTGCATGCTGATTTTTTTTTTCTTTTTGCTTAACATATAAAAAGGTTTCTGTGCTATTATAGTTCTTCAAGAATGGCTACTTAATATTACATTATCTAGATGTAACAATTTAGCCATTTCTTTACAGCTAAACTTTTAACTTATTTCCAACTATTGTTATTAAATATGTACTGAAGCAACAAATATCCTTTATAAAATTTTATCTACAGGACATAGTTCCTTAGATGGAGTCCTTGAAATACAGTTGATGATTCAAAGATCTCTTAATACAGATTGACTATTTGCTTTTCAAAATATGGTATACCAAAGTATGCTCCCACCAGCACTCCTGTGTTACTATATTCTTGTTACTATGAGAAAGCATCCTTAAAAGGAAAAAATAATTACTGCCAGCTTTATAGATGAACAGTATTATCTCTGTTTATCTTCCATTTCTTTGATTACAAATGATGTTGAACACCAAAAAAATGTAGTTATTGTCCACTTTTCTTCCCTTTTAATTGAATGTAGTGCCATATTTTTCTCCTGGGATATTAGTTTTTGTCTATCCATAAGAGCTTTTTATGGCTTGATAGGAAACTTTTGCTTTTCATATTGCAGATACTTTTTTCCATTTTTGTCTTTGCCTTATAAAGAAAAACACATAACACATGTTTATGGTGGTTTTAACTTATAGTCATTATATGCTTTAATTGATGTAATCAAATCTGTTGACTTTCTCAAAAACAAAATTTTAATGCTCCTGAATCATAGCTAAGAACTACATAGGAGAGTGGCAGAAGATGACTTTTAAAAGAATCCCCACCCCCACCCACCCAAATTCTGAATTAGATTCTTTTCACACGCATTATAGGAACTCCATGCGCTGGAGTAGACCGTTGCAAAACAGATTGTGTTTGTAGATGAGAAATAGTTGTGCATGGTATAGACCTCTAAGGAACAACATTCTTGGAAATCAAAGCAGAAAGTTTTAAATTTCAGGGAATAAAAGTCTTTCAGAGCTGTTATTCTGTGATTATGTAAATTGGGCTCACAATCCACTTATTTTTTTGTTGTTCATCAGTAGTATTATTTTGCTAGAATCTTTTTATATTCATCATTGTAGTTTCATCCTAATGTGTCTTTCTTAGTGTGTAGTTGGATGTATATGTAGTTATACATTTTCCCAAGTTGATTTTCTAACACTATTCAAAAATTAAACGATTTATTTGAATCGAGGAAAATAAGCCTTACTGATTCCCCAAACTTGAGTTCTCTTTTCATGCTATGGAAGCTTCAAGACACCCTGGATACTTGTAAAGGCCTCGCTGAGAGCGCTCTTCTCCAGAGTCTGAGCCCCTTTCTTTCACTCTCCATCTTTCAGAGCCTGAGAATAAGCAGGGGACCGTACCTGAGTGGTGAGGATGAGTTTGGTATATGCTGTATGTCTTTGGTGCACTAAGAAACAGTCCCAGACTTTCTCTTGAGGCATTGCAGGAGACCACCACCCCTCAGCTGGCAGGTTCTTGGGCAATGGTGCCTTGTTGTGGCCTCCAGAGGAATGACTGAGGATGAGTGACCCCACCCTGATTTTTATTTAAAAAAAATGGAAGGAAAGGAAGAGAGAAAGAAGGGGGATTAGATGAGATGGTATGACCTTAGCCAGCCTGAAATTTGACCAGGGCTCCCCATCCTTGGCTTAGGACAGTCCAGTATAACCAGAAACTGAGTTTGACCTGCAGTTACTGCTTCTAAAAACATATTTCTAAACCAAGCTTTATAAAAGATTGCTGTGATGATAGTTATTTTTCAAAATGACCTCAATATTCTTTGAAATCAGTAGTTATTACTCTTTTTTATGTGGATAAATATCCATGATATTAATACATGACTTTTTCTTGTTCACTTGGCTGAAGATAAAAAAGATTTTTTCCCCATTTTGAGGATGACAGATTTGGATGCTAATCCTCATTATCTAGATAGATACATACCATAAAATTTCGTTTTCATACACTCTTAAGCTAATTTGCAATTTGTGATTGCTCTGATGGCTGTTATACCATCAAGTAAGAAAGGTTTGTTCAGCAGATTTAGAGTGAAAACAAGCTTGAATCTAGAGGTGTTTTACTAAAGTAAATAGCTTTCAAGCACTTCAGAAGTACATATTTGCATATAAAAGATCTTTGATTCTAAAGCCTTATTTTTGTTCATTAAAGCTGGTAGATTTTCCTTAACCTTCAGTTTAAGCCCCATATTGAAGAGAAATGAAAACGTATTTACTTAAAGATAAACTGTATTTAACTCTTGCGAATAGGCCCAGGTCTACATTAATGAATGTTTTTATGCACACATTACTTCCCCGTGAGTAAAAGTAAGACAAGTCACACACCCTAACTTTATTGTAAACCTAGACGTTTTGTTTCATTTTGAAGTTGTAAAATGAAGAGAGTTTTGAAGTCACTTAAAGTTTCTCTTGAGGAAATAAATATGTTTTCTTCTTGAGTAGGGTTGGATAGATTGTTTTTGGGCAGTGAAAGGTGACGTGCAAGTGCAGGCCGTAAGTTTCACAAACTAGCTGGCTGCGGAAAAGAGGTTGCAAGGAAATGACTTCCAGGTAGTGTCATTTTTGTCTGAAATTGTGCTGATTTCATGTTTCAGTAAGAGTTGTGCTGAGCGGAAGGGCAGGCCTGGCCAGTCTCCCGTTGTGTGCACACGGCCAGAAGAAGAGCAAAAACGGGGAACAAAACCGACTGGGAACAACACATCCATCCGTCTTCCAGGTAGGGTGCCATTGAAAGCCATTAAATTATGATCATTCTTTTAAATACTTTTAAATATTTGTGCCCTGTCTGTTTATATTTAAGCTCAATGCAAAGAAAAGAAAATTAGTGTTTAGGTTTGAAGGCCAATCAATCCTAATAACCCTGATCTACAATTAACTAAAACATTGTAGGACATTTTGTGTTCTCTTTTGTCTTTGAGAAAGGATTCCCTCTAGGAGAGAGTCACACTTATCAGAAGAGCAGGAAGGAGAGATGTAAATGTACATTCTTGGGCAAATAAAATGTATAGCTCAAATAACGTCAATGGCAGAGTTCATTGAGTCTTGACTGTTGGGTTAGCCTGCTTCTATATTTTTCCTGCGTTGGAAACCTTATAATGTTTAATTCGGGTATTATTTACATAAATCCCAGTTCTGAAAAAGAAGTCAATATTTCTTTACCTCATTTCAGATAAGCAGTTTGGAACACATGATGTGTTTAACAGTGTTCAGTGACAAATGAGTTCTCTCTTATGTTTATCTTGTAGACAGTTTTGGTGACTGTTAACAATGAATGATACCGAGTTGAAACTGCATGCCCTTTTAACCCATAGCTCGCTTGGCTAGCTTCGTGGAATAGAAGCCAGTATAATAGAAGCAGTCTAAGAGATGGCATTCAAACATGGGCCCAACCCCTTCCCCTAACCTCTGTCTCAAGTTGACTAAGCTGTACTTACAAGAACTACTAGTTAAATCACCTTGAGCTATAAAAAGTCTCCATTTTATTATACAGTGAACTGCTACACCACAGTCATCTCATTCTTAGGTGAATTATAGAATTGAACCATGTTTGCACATTTCTACTGACCCACCCCAATAGACTGTAATTCAAGGGAGGATTGCATAAGTCCTACTTGCTGGGGAGAGAGAAAGACTGGAAAAACGGGAAATGGGTTACAAAGGGTAAAATAAAATTTTCTACTAAGAAAAATGGACTTGTTTTATTAGATCCTCAATCTAGACCCCTCCTAGGTGGAACCAAGTCACATATACACAGTGTGTAGTTAGGATTATGTTTTCATGTTAGATGGTAAACAAAAGGCATGAGTAAAAATCCTTGCTGTTAGCATCTTAAGTTTGATTTTCACCAGCCTCAAACCATGTATTGAGCATTTTCCATGGACTGAACGCTGTGCAAAGCAGATGTTGTTCTCAGGGCAGTCAGTCAGAAAGCCTCAACCATTGTGAAAAGTACAGTTTTGGAAATGTTCAGGTTGCTAGAAATAGTCTCCCAAGCCGTTAACGTTCTGCCATACATTGGGCATTCTGTCTGCTACCTCGACCAAATTTTGGTAAACCTAAAGCTGTTTTGATATTTTTTATTATGTTAGGACTTCTGAACCTTGATCCCTTTTCTCTTTTCCTTCTCACTTCAAAAGAGGTGAGAGGCAAGATACTTAGCACTACAGTCTGTGCTTTCACTTTCTCTGGGTAATCTTTTTAGTGACATTTTCCAATAGCTTTTTTGTTACATCTTGTAAGTTTCTTGAGAAGAGGGTTTTAAACCTTAGGATGCTGGGTGCATTTGCCTTTATAGCATTATTTGTACCAGATGTAGCCTGGAATAACTCGAGAGCTGTGATCGCATGGGAGTTTGAAATTCTTTCTTCAGTTAGTCACAGCTACTAGACTGTCTTTTGAGCCAGAGATATTAGTTTCCTTACGGCTTTTCTGGATTTTCTTCCTTGTCCTCTCCTCGTGCCTGCCCCCTCATCCACTGTGAAGTGTGCAGCAAGCAGAAGAGAGGGCGGCAGCTCAGTGTGGCCTTGTGTCTCTGAAAGGCTGTGCTGTTAGGAGTTAGGCTGACGTAGAGCTGGAAGGTATAAGGTTCTTATCCTTCTGAGTTATAATTCCATGTTTTAATAAAGTGCCATTCTGAAAACACCTGGCAGACACCCATGTGAAAATACTTGTACAGACTTAATTCCACTTGTGAGACTTTGTGACATTTTCCATTTGTGCAATCACAAGTTGACAATTTCTCATGAATAGAGACTTTGGGCTGTTTCTTGTTTAGAGAAATATGTATTTACATTTTAAATGATGAATTTTCAGCCTGGGATTCTTCTTTCTCTTATTATATTAATAAGATTTGTGTTTCAGAGTAGTTTTGTATTTCTGGAAAACTTTTTGATTGGTTCACTAGAATTGATGGTTATTGGATTGGATTTAATCCTCCTAAGTATTAAATTTTTTGTGTAATGCTTAAAAAGTTCTGATGGTGCTTTATGGAGATAGTCATGACAAATATACAGAGGGATTTACTAATTCATTTTATTTCCAAGATAAGAAGAATGGGTCTAATCAATGAAAAAGTAATGGCGATAGAAAAAAGCCTGCATTTCTCTTTTTATGAAAAACATTAAATGACTTTATATTGCAGATGTGACTATTTTGGTAGAAAATGTTAGTTGTATCTTCGGCTAAATATTTAAAATTTATAACCTTATAGGTACATAATCAAATGAAAACTATTTTCTACTTATATGGTATAAGTAGAAACCTACAGGCAAGGTGTTCCTGTCTTTCTCTCTTTCCTCCTGTTTTTATTAAAATTGGGATAATAAAATGGAGACGAGTCAACTTTTTGCTAGATTTTGCTCACCCTGATGTCTATTATGAAACCTTGGAGACATACTTTGTTATAGAATTGGAAAAAATGTTACTGGTATCCAGAACATTGGGTACAGGAGGTCTGGAGTATGCACAGACTTCAAAGTTAGACCAAGCTGGGTTCTTCTCGGAGCCTTCTGTGTTAGGTCACGCGATTTTTGGGTAAATTACATCCTTGCCTTTGCACCTGTCACCTCATGGAACAGTGGGGATAACACCTCTTTCTTGAGGTTGCTCTACCACAATGTCAGGTATGTAGAACAATAGTGAATAAGTGCTAATACCTTCCTTCATTTCTTGTTTTAATCTTCTGATTCATGGACAAGAAGCTTCATTTAATTTCTTCCACTCTCCTTTGTTGGAGGTGTTGCTTGCATCTGTTGGTGCTCTCTCTTGGGAACTAAATTCCAGGCACAGGAGCCCAATAACTTTCCTCTTCCTTAAAAAGAGTTGGTTGGTACCAGTAACAGTTGCGATTACTTATTCTCGGACTCCAGCTTTGTCACCTCTTGGTTTTTTTGAGTTTGTTTAGTGAGTTGCTGGTATTTTATTATATTTGCACTGCATTTAAAAATAAATCAAAGCACGTACTTTCATCTTTGGTATAAAGTCTGTAAATTCTGTTGCCGGTTTGCTATCAGCACATTCTAAAAGCGCTTAACGTTCAGCCATCACTTTGAACCAATAAAGCACTTGAGGATTTTAAAGTAATGTCATCATCCTCTGTTCTAATCTTGAACCTGTAGCTTCATCTAACAGCATTCGTATTTAAGAGTTTTGGTCAGAAAATGTTACCATTTATATATTTAAATACTAAGGCAATTCTGAATTTTCATGTTTCAAACAAAGTGAGATAATAACTCCCTATGTTTTTGGAAAGTACCTTGTAAATACACTATGAAGGACATTCTCATTCAATTGTCATCAACCCTGTGAGTTGGGCAGGGAAGGTTGTGAGAGCTTTGTGTTATATATGAAGAAATTGAGGACTGGAACTAGTTGGGTAGGTGTTTTATATTACAATGAGTTAAGTTGTGGAACCAGGACAAGAACCCAAGTGTGCTCCCCTCCTGCTCCATTCCCCACTCCCAGTATGATACTGTTACTTGACTACTTTTAATTCTGTGAGAAGTAATAAATTGCTGTTGCTAGGATTTCCTTCACATTGGTGCTGAAATGAGATCAAAGACATGCAGTAGTTAGGATGTGTAACGTTTCAGATAGCGTACCTTAGAATTATGAGTTGTTTTTCCATTTTCTAACCATACAACATAAGACAGAATGTTAAATCTTGTAAGCCATTACATTAGTAGACAAATGGAAAATTGAGGGTTACATATCATTACAGTGATATATTACATGTCAATGAGAGTTTATAGTTTTCAGATTTCTTTCCAGAAGAACCAAATAAAATTCTATCAGAACAATCATTTGAATCATTGGATTGTACAATAACAGACTGTAAAATGCACCCATTTTACAGACAGCAATCCAAGGTTATGCACGTTGAATAGGGACTACTATTTTTCTGAACATTTTTTTTTTTCTATAGAAATTTTGAATCCCATTTCATCATTTAAAGCTGCATGGGTAGATGGAGCTAATCCCTGGCAGAAATTTAACTAGGAGATGAGGACTGGTGTCAGTCAGAACTGGGAAGAGAATGTCCCATAAAACCAGCTATACCCTGGGCATCAGTCATGGTTTCTAGCCCTGAATCCACAGTTCTTATTACCAAAGTGACTTCCAAGGAATGTACAGTGTTAGGACTTGAAAAGTGCCTTTACATAGATTGGCTCTTCCCTTGGGCTGCTTCTGTGAGTTAGGTGTGAACATACATTGACCTTTGTTAAGAAACTTTTATTTGCCAGTGGAAAACCTAACACAGGTAATCATTTTCAAGTAAAGAGTACAGGAAGTTGATGTTTAATGAAGGTTGGGAAGCACAGTGTAAGGTGCCAACTTGCGTAACTACACACACACACACACACACACACACACACACACACACACACACACAGAGCATGGCATTTTTCAATTGGCCTTGGCATCGCTGTAATGGAAAATTATTTCCTTTTAGCCAAGTGGACTTTGAAGAGATAAGGCAACTGGCTGAAAGATTATAAACAGAGTTGTTCATGGACATTTAACACTTTCAGGAAAATATTTTATTTTAGTTTTAACCTCTGCCCTGCCCATTCAGTCTACCCCCCCCATTTCTCCCAAACAACCTGTGCTGCCTTTTGGGGAATTTCTTTAACTAGCTGCATATAATTTAGAAATAAATAATGCAGAGTCTTTACATCAGATTATTTTATTAGTCCAGCTATACAATTCTTGATGGTGGCTCTTGATAAGCACTGCATGTGAAATGGTTGTTTGGTTTTAGTTCTTCACTTTTATAGGGACAGTCTCTCCTGTATTGGCTCACTACTATCCTGGGATTTAGTTTTACTGTTTTAATCTTACAGTTTTTACTGATTTTCATGAAAAAGCTTACTTTTTGATGGAATTCTGAATATAATCTACAATATGAGATAATATCGACAGGAGCAAGAATTTAATTTTGTTTACCTATCTATCAGGAATACATAGAATAGTACACCCTTTATATTTACTTATTCAAGAAATGTTGAAGAAATGCTGACTTAGACTGAGAGACAGTATTTTAAGTTTTCAGATGTCTATTGGTTTGGGATTGTAGACATCTGGTATGTGGTCCTGACCTACTTTACAAGGTGGTTGTTTAGGTCTGTGGCTATAATGCCCTCCAGGGCCATGGCCAGGGACCAACACCTTTAGGAGGGTCTTGGTGAATATACCGGGGGTGCCAAAAAAAAGTACACATTTTAAGAGATACTATCTATGTATTACTTTTCAAAATTGAATTGAATTACAGTAGCAATGTGTAGTATGATATTTGCTCAAAAGATGGCATTAATCAAATGAATGCTAGTGCCATTCATTGTATTACAATTTCAATACTTTTTTTTGGTACCATCTGTATTCTAGAGTAACAGGAAAACACAAAATTCTGCATAAGTAGAACATGTTTGATGTCCATGAGATCAGACAAAAACTGGTAGTTAGTAGGTGTAGTCAACATTCTACAATAGGTTTTACATTGCGGGGGAAGGAACTAGTTGGAAGGTGGATTACAGAACAAGAGCCAAGAAAAACGTCTATAGGTTCCAATGTGTATTAATGGATGTATTCAGGAATCTATAGCTGTCTACTGACCACATGATCCATGAAGAAAATTAGATAAAATTAAGTACCATGAAATGCACCTAGCTTACGTGTACAATTACGAGTTTTGACAAATACACATCTATGTAACCAACACACCAGTCAAGATATACTACGTGTTCATCACCCCAGAAAGTTCCCTTGGCCATACGAAGAAGTTGCTGAGCTTTGGTCATAAGTAAAGTGAGGATAGTAATTAAAAAGCTTGTTTCATGAGGTTGTTGCTGTTAGCAACTAATAATTGTGTCTGGGTTAGAGAGTTTCCAAAATTTTCTTTCAACTCTTAAAACAACCCTATGAGATGGATTGTTATTGTTACATCAGTTTTTACAGACGAGGAAAATGCAGCTAAGATTGCTTTTGGCTTGCCCAAGGTAGGCAACCCAGTAGCTGAGTAACCGTGGGAGCTCTCTACAAATAACACATGCCCTGATGTCTACACAGCTGTGGGTCCGTTGCTATATGGAGTGACCAAAAGTTGGTTTAATTACTGTGGGAAGGAGGGGGGAAGGGAGCTCAAGATTACACATTTGAATTGGATTTAATGTCCTTTGGTATTTATTAACTCTATTTCTTGGACAAGGTACTGACATTCTGGAAACATCAAGTCTAGCATCTCCAAAAGGGGAGGAGTGATAGGAGGAAGGTGACTGTCATGGGACCTGTCTGTCACATTGGCTGTCAAGTGGGAGGATGACTTCAGTGAGAACACTTTAGTGGACTTTGAAGCGCTGTGTGCTGATGTTGTTATCTTTATCCATGGAGGAGGTAGCTGCCCCTCCCCCACCCTGGCCTCACACTCTGCTCACTGTGGCTGGACCAGCAGGGACTGACAATGTGTCAGAGAGGGACAGTCCCCACTTGTCAGTCCCCTGATGCGTTGAACATTGTTGACACAACTTTTTCTCTCACCAGTCCTTCTGACATTCAGAAGCCTCAGATAGTTTTACAGCCTTTAGGTCAGCCTCCCTCCACAATACTTGTCAACTTTATCAGGAAAGAGTAGTATTTTTTTTTTAATTTCTATTTTAATTTTCTTTCTGAAGCATATATGAAACAGTATGAGTTGGTGTGTGGTGGGTGAGTTCCTAAGTAATCCAAAGAACCGAATTATTTTGTGCATGCTTCCTGTATTCCTAAAGATGAGCCATTTCCACAGTGTGGTTAAGTGCCGGTTATTAAACAGACTACCTAACTTCAGGATTTAAACTTGGTCAGTTCAGACTTCCTGTCCAGGTCTGTTCTCTTCTCTCAAGGGTAGTTTTCCTCCTTTTGCCGAGCACCCCCATCTGGGTTGGAACCTGGGTCCCGGAGGAGCTGTATAGCACCATAGTTTCAGGCCGTGGGTCAGTGTTGTCTGGTCTAGGTGATGCCTTCCAGATGTCTTGGCCTCTGCTGAGGCAGTTCCCCAAGGTGGGTCTTTAGATGGCTGTCCACGTGTGTGCTGGTTTCTGTGGTCTCCGCAGTGGCTTCCAGTGGCAGGATCAGTATACACTGCCTCTTCTTTGATCTGTTCCAGGCCTTTTCTGGTCCACTGGCCCTCTCAGCACTTCCCTTTGTGTGCGGCTTTCTCTCTGGTCCTTGTCTTTGACCTTCTGGGATAGCTGGGAAAGTGCCCTCTCATCTAGCACTCTCCTTTCTCTATCCTCCTTCTTCCTGTCCCTCGCTGTCCTCTTCCCCAAGCTCAGAGGTTCCAAATGGGGATCTATGAACCAGGGGTGCTTGGTGACAAAATGTTTACCATGACACAGGGAAATGGGGAAAAAAATTAATGTATACACACACACACACACACACATCATACTAACATATCATCAGGCTAAATTTATATAATCTAAACTGAAAGAATGTTCTTTATTCTGCAGTGATGTACTCCCTTCCTTTTTGTGTTAAAAAAAAATGCCCTTTTATAATGTGCCGGTAGTAGTAAAAAGGTATTTTGTCTGAAGTGTTCTTAGTGCAAATTAAAAGCTCGTTTTCCCGTGTTGTGTCCCCAGATTTTTGGAAGGGACATTTTATGAGACCATAAAATCTGAACAGCTAAGAAGCACTCACTGCCCGTTCCTTATACTCAGCTCAGGCTTCGTCGTCTTCACTTAACCAGTCCCTCCATATCCTCAGGAGTAGAACCCATCCTCTCAGTCCCTTAGGCTCTGGTTGCTTCTACTTTTGCAATTTTTGTAATTATTTACTTTCTTGTTTTCTTAACTGCACTTTAGGCCCTTGAAGGTTCCTTGAAGATGGGGCTGTCTTCTGTCTGTAGCAGAAAAGCTGGCACATAGTAGGTGGCTCATGAGTGTTTGTTGAGTGAATGCAAGCTCTTGTAGTATAGGGTCCCTTTATAGCAGGGATAAGGGACCTAGCAGGATGGTGCGTGAAGTAACCAGCTCTCATCCTGCAGCCACTTAGCTTCTGTGGGACTCATGCTAATAAGTGGGTTCCTCCTTTTGTAACTAATGGGAGGCTCTGAATATAATAAAAATTACATAAGGCTTCTTTTTTTTTTAAAGTTTCTCATATTAAGAGAGCAGTTGTGAGGACATTGGTAAGGTTTATATTGCTAACTAAAATGTCTTATGTTTATTTAATGGCAGGGAATCGCATTATTCTCAACTGTAAATGTGGATTAAGTTGAAGCACACTGCCATCTTGCATTTACAGCTAAACTAAGAAGTTAGTATTCAAGAAGAAAGATGTTATTTTATTTAACTTCTGACTAAAATACTTTATAAGGGGGGGTTGAAATCATTTGAAGAAAGGCATGAGTGGATACTGAAATTATTCATTTTAAAAAGCTGGGCTATTGAGTTTTACAAATATTAACTGAGTGAACATGAGTAGAACATTTCTCTCTCATTTTTAAGTGCACGTCTTCATTGTATCCATCTCTGTCTGTAAGCCCTGAGCCAGCCTGTCACACTGTCATGCCATCGGGGCCCACAGATCTGCGAGAATGGGAGCAGTGGTCCCGGCCTCAGTCAGCAGAATTTGTTGGCTGTAACTGAGCTGCAGACTGCCGTTAAGGGTGGAGTCAGCAAGTTACTGAACTGCTTCTGTTGAGAATTGATCGCTGAGAGTAATTATTTAGAGGTTTCTGTCATGATTGACTTTCACATACCAATGAGTTTAAAGGCTCTCTGAGGCCTTCAAACAATTGGGAGCCAGACTTGGACCATTTTTATGGAGCTAAAGACTTTGCATTACATATGTGAGCCTTAGAAATATAAAGCTACGCAAAGCCCAACTTGTGAATTTCCATATTCTTCTATATAGCACAACCATATGCATATTCAGTGTCTTTCAATGTCTTTTTTTCTCTTTAAAATGCACCTTCTATTCCTCCAAGTCTATTGAGGACAGATTCTAAGATCCTATAGGCTTCCACTTCCTACACTTGCATCTGAGAAGTACAAAAAGTAGTCAGTATTGGAGCATGAGATTTTGTTCTGCTTATGAGAGTCAGGGAGGGGACTTGGCTGGGTTTCTTGCTTCCTGAGGTCCACGTTGTGTTCTTTTGTTCTCTTGGCACACTCCCACATTGAGCCATTCTTGAACTCTAGAGTAGATGGAGGGGAGGATACCTGACAGGTAGAGGTGTCCTCACCTTCAGAGTCAGAGACTCTCGATAAACAGATGCTCACTGGCACAGCCAGAACCAGCGAGTGAATGTTCATTATTCCTTGGACATGCAGCTCTGCATCAAGCCAGCCTGTCTTCTAAATACTGGAGCCAGTGCGCTCTCCTTAACATTTTCATGAGGTCTTCATTTAGTGTTATCAGTAATAATCTGGAGAGCAAATATTTTTGACTCTGTAAACTTGTGGGCTCAGAAAAGATATACTTTGATATGTCATGATGTCCCTGAAGGAAAGGCACAGATGACATACATAAATGTATTTTTCCCTCTGATTTTTGGATGTGCAGTCCCATAAAATTTCAGTTGTTAAAACATTCAAACCTAGTTTGAGGTTCTCATGCTTCATTTTAGCAGTGAGATGGAAAAATCAGCCAAACATTTAGGTTGAAACTCATGTTACTGTAGTCGTCTTTTATTGAGGTGTAGCAGTAAATGGTGTAGAGTTTTAACATCTGATATATTTTAGTGTTTCTGGTAGGCCTGTTCCAATTACAGATGTTACAGTATATGGTTATATTTATAAATAGCACAAGGGGATAGTTAACTTACTACACTGTCTTGGTATGCTCTTCGTTTTTCAGAAGGTGACTACAATTTTGTTTGAGTATTTTTATCAATATCTACCTCTTCCCAAGGCTGTCATGGAAATCTTAAATCTCAGTGTTGCTCCCGGGCATGACATTTCAGGAAAGAAAATCTCATCACTGAGTTGTTTTACATATTTTGGTACATGGGTTAAAATTCTCATGAGACTGGGCAATCTTTCATCTTTGATTTTTTTTTTTTAACCTGATGAAATCACAGGCACTGTGGGTTGGCACATGGTGCATTTGGAATGGGAGCCCAGCCCTGGTATGCTCAACTGAGGGCCGTGGGTGGGTTGTGCTATAAAGGTCATGACCCCACTATCCTTGGAGGGCATTCTCCTCTGCAGCCATCAGGGGCTTCTTGCTGGGTTAACAGAGGAGTGTTGCTAAACCTACTGGGTCTTGCCTGGCTTCGGAAGGGTTTTTCTCTAAAGATTGCCTCATCAGGCCAACTTAGAAATCAGAGAGTGGCTGTAGGCCTAAAAATAGTCCCCATTTAGGAGGAGGGCCTAAATGGCACAGAGCCACTGTGGCTTTCCTGCTGCCTGACCAGGATCCCTTAGGGAGGCAGTCCAGTGGAGAGGGCCTGGGCCTGAAGACAGGTGTGAAAAATGGAGGGCAGAGTGTTTTCTTCCTGGCTTGTGTAGGAGGAGGTAAAAAGTTTTAGTGATTGACTTTAAAAAAAACTCTAGAAACTTTTAGTAAAGTAAATAATTGGAGGTTATTCTGTTTATGGGACTAGATTTAGGGGAATATAGTCCTAGATGTTTCTAATTTGCAAGAAAATAGTTTGTGTTTAATGTTAGTCACAGTGTGTTTGAGGAATGGAAACAGTAACATGCCTTGTTTCCTATACTGCCTGGGAAACACAAAGTGAAGCATTGTTCGAAAAGTTGCAGAGGTCATTTAAACAAAGACCTATACATTTAAAGTTGAAATTTCTGGGGGAATTATGTAACACACTTACTAATGACTCTTTGGATACATAGGGTGCATATTTTATGTTGAGGTCATATGAGCTAGAAGAAATTTAAGTCTGAAACTGAGATACAAAATAATTCTTTTCAGAATGGTAGCTGTTTTCTGATTGGGTATGACATATTCAAAACTTCGTATTTATTTTAGAGACTTCTTTTTTCTATTTAAGGTGAAACCAGATTACTTTTGTTTGAACGCTCATTGATTTAGGAATGGGTGGTCATTGATTTTTCAGAGATTCTTCCACTGCCTCTCAGAGTTGACTATGAAGTTTAAGTGATATCATCTGATTTGGGGGTGGCAGCGAGGACGCCCTTGCCTTTGAAGATATTTCTTATCACTGTAGCACAAAAGCTAATCTGTTGCCAATTGTTCCAGGTCACTGAGTATGTTTTTTAAGTTAAGTGTGATGAGAGACCATCAGGCGGCTTTGCAGCTTTGAGAGGGGATTTGCGTGAGTTACAGTTCAGAAGGATCATTCTGGTTGCAATGTGGAGAATGAATGTATTGTAAGGAGGCAAGAGGCTATAGTGGTGGCTTGGAGTTGACGTGATAGTGAAGGTGGGAAATGGTTGCATTTGGAATGTATTTTGGAGCAGCACCTATTGGAGTTACTATTGGGGTGAGAGGAAAAGGGGAATCAAGGCTGACTTCCTGGTTTTTTGCATGATCAACTTGGGTGCATAGCGGTATCTTTCACTGGGAGTAAGGAGCACTGGAGCAAGAAGGAAGCTGGTGGGGCGTCTGCAAGCCTGGAGTTCTCTTTTAGACAGGTGAAGTTTAAGATGCCTCTTAGATAGGCAAGGCAAATGAAGATGTTGAAGTGACAGTTGGGTATTCAAATCTGGAGCTTTAGGGAAGCACCAGGGCTAGAGTTATCCTTATGGGAGTTGTTATAAAACAGAATATTTAAAACAAGATATGGGTGTAGGAAAAGAAGGGTTTAAAGGCTGAGCCCTGCCTTACCCTCAATCTTTAGAGGCTGGTCAGAGAAGCAGCAGCAAAGTCATTTGAGAAGGAGCAGCCTGTGAGTTTAGGAGGATAGAGAGAGTAGTGCTTGCATTCTCATGATAAAAGAGTAATATATGAGGAGTTGCTTCTGTGGATGAGCAAAGAAAGTGGTTTCTTGAGATGAAATCTACTCCTAGTTAAGATGCTGTGAAGATTGTTGAAATGACAACAAAGGGTTTCTAATATTACGCAAACTTGGTAGATTGAAGCAGTGGCAGGGCTTGAGATCACTGGCTCCTATTTTGAAAGAAGCTCTGTGGGTAAAATGCTATCAAACAACATCATATGTCACACAGAAATCATTCCTGAAAGGAAGAGTCAGTTGCAGAGGCAAATTTGATTGTTGTCTTATTTTAAGAAGTTGCCACAGCCACCCCAGCTTTCAGCAGCCACCACCCTGACCATTCAGTCGCCGTCAACACTGAGGCAAGACCCTCCACCAGCAAAAAGATTATGACTTGTTGAAGGTTCAGATAATGGTTAGCATTTTTTAGCAATAAAATATTTTTAAATTAAGGTATGTACTTTTTTTTTGGATATAATGCTATTGCACACCTAATAGACTATAGTAAAGTGTAAGCAGAACTTTTATATGCACTGGGAAACAAAAAAATGCATGTGACTTGCTTTATTGCAGTGGTCTGGAACCAAACCTGCAATATCTCTGAGCTATGCCTGTGGAGTGAAGAGTTTTTTGTTTTTTTTTTTTTACCAAACAGGAACACTTTAGTTCACTTTTTGGTGTGTGTGTGTGTGTGTGTAGATACACGTGTGTGTAATCCATTAGAATCTTTGATAAGCTTGTGGAAACCATGGTAAATTCAGCCAAAAGTAAAAACAAGTACAACAAATTTCTTTGAAATACCAGAACATTTAGTACCCTTAGGCAACCTCATTTCAGGGAAATGCATACGTTCTGTTAATCATTTTTGAAATATTGAGAATCTTTATAGGAACAGTAATACTCTCTGAGGTTCTCTAAAGTCCAAAACACTTCTTTACATCTTCTGGCTGCTGTCCATAGTGCTGTTTTAAGACCATCATTTGCTTGGATGCTTATGTGGGAGG